CAATAAACAAAAGAGAAATGCGGGCTCACTGTGGACCTGTGGCCCTCTTAATGCTTTGGACCAGAGGTGCTGTCCATCAGCCTGTCAACAGTCTGACCTCCACATCTCCCCTTTATGGCATTAGCCATTTGAACGACCCTCCCTCCCCTGCTCTCCCCCCTCCCCTCAGCCCTTGTGCTCGGCCTCCTCTGTCCCTGTCCTTCTCTCGTCTGCTCCTTCCCCCTGCTCTTCGATCATGTTTCCCTACTTTGGCCAGAGCAGAGAGCGGTGATGTCCCCCTCCCCCCCGCCTCCTGCCCAATCCCGACCGCAACTCCTACCTCCATGCCACATTATAGCGCAGTGCCCCCGCGCGCCCCTGCATCTGTGGAATTGTTCATGTATCAGGTTTGATATAGCTAGGCCGTCCTTTATAATTACCCCTCCGACCCCTCTCCCTCATCCCAAGCTCATTATCCCACCTGTTAGCCCCCCTGATAGGACAAGACAAGGGCGTTGGGATTCAGGGCGCCGGGGTTTGCTGAAATCTGTGGGGGTAAGGCTTGGGGAGTCAATGTTTTTGGCAGACCCCCCCCGTTCTTGTTGGTAATGCAGCAAAGACTTGATTTTGATGATTTCACCCCACAAGTATGATGAATCAACTGGAACCAAACAAAACCAATTTCGGGTATAACAATTGAGTACATTTATCATTTGTTCCTTTTTCTTTAACAATGTCGTGATGTTAAAGTCGAGGCACATTACGAATGATGCCACTCTCCTTATCAATTAAACACTGGTATCGGCCATTATCCAATGCCCAGGTTTCGTATCGGTATCCGGACCGAAAAGGTCAGATCGTCTACACACGGCTCATCAATCCCGGCCTGAAAGGCGGCATGACGATGGGCAGGGAAATGGCAGACTTGTCTCCGCATGATCAGGCAGGATGTCAACCCTTTGGGCCTCACCCGGGTGTCATGGCCGGAGGAGCTGGTCGCGGCGGTTGGGTGCCGGCAGAAGACTGGGCTTGGTCCTTGGAAGAGGGTCTGGAAGTGATGAACGCCCACGAACACGTCAGCATGAGCAAAGAGTGCGTGAAGGGCCCTGGTGAAAATGGTGTACTGTTCGCACTGCAGAGGCTTGACGCTCATCAAGCCCTGCGTGGGCTACTGTCTGAATGTAATGCGAGGCTGCCTGGCCAGCATGTCCGAGCTGGATCAGCCTTGGAGGAGATACACCAGTCTGTTGGAGCAGCTGACCCACGCCACGGCTGGGCACCACAGTCTGGAACTAGCCCTGCTGGGGGTTAGGGGGTACGTTAATGAGGCCCTGCTCTACGCACAGCTCCACGGTCCACTCATTACTGCCATCCGCATCCGTTGAATCAACAGATTGACTCAATAACTTATTAATAGCGTATTACCATTTAACTGTGGCCTCACAGGTTAGAGGCTGAGAGATTGCATGACATTGCACCTCTAACACGTAACCCAAGATGAACGAGAAAGCTGAGTGAGAGATCGCCCTATATAAAAGTATTCTACTAATTAAAACAAGGATGTGTAATCTACACATGTGTCGCTATGTCATATATCCGTGCGGTCCGAAACCCAAGCCTGTGGCAGGATTAAAATGCTCTGCCTGCGAAGATGGTTGATGAGGTGCAGGAAGGACTGATGGCCAAGATGGGAATGGCCCTTCATCGTATGACCACAGTGTCTACTACCTCATTATCACAATATTACCGCATCTCCGAGCATGCACATATAGACACGCCTCTACAGGATGACGCGCACGCACTTACAAATATAGACACACTGTTCATGTAGTCATACTCGCACTTAGGGATCCACTCTCACTGCGCACAGATACGCGTAAATCCAGTAACCCCAGTAACCCCAGTTTATATAACTGGTGTAGGAAAGAAAAGAGTTCCAGGGGCCACACATGATCCACCACATATTATATCAACTCGCTCTAGTACTTTCTGGTTTGCTTAAACGGTAACAGAGAAAGCGATAGAGATCTATACAAGACAAGCCCAATGTGTCTTTTTTCATACCACCACTAGAAAGAGGCCCGCAAGTGGGATATTGGTAAATTCAACTATTAGTAAAACAGGCTTTAAATATTAATTAACAAATAACTTTGAACCTCAACGAGTACCGCTCTTACTACTGTAGAACAAGTACTAATGACAAAGTACAATCTGTGTATCCAACACCTGTATACACACTTACCATGTTGGCAGGTGACGGGTGCCTGGCGCCACATGTCTCTGTAACCCAGCTGTGTTGCCTTGGACTTAAATGCCACACTCCGGATCATTCGGACAATACTGCTCAGTTAAGCGCACACACGCACACATGCATGACAAAAAACACTACAGTTGTGACTTAAATCCCAGAGCTGCCACTGCGCTTATTTTGACTCAGCTTTGCCATGGCGACTAATTGTACGAGTAAAACATTGGGTTGCCATGCAGAGCGTAAAGCGGAAACTTCTTATGAAGTCCAGCGGTGGAAAGATATGGTATAATAAGCGGTCCCAAAGTTATACTGCAAACTCGTTGTAGGCCACTCTGCTGTGATACCTTGCTTATTCCGGGCAGAGAGCATGTCAGATTAGCCCCACAGCACCGCAGACAGAGCAAGCCTGTTCATTTAGCCCTGTGTAGTTAGCTTGACAATGGGTTTTTTGGGGGGAATTTCAGAGTTTTTAAGACTTCCTCAGAAATTAAAGTTAATTGCTTCATGCAATATAACTTCAATCCGTCCCGATTTCATTTCCCAAGAGGCTTACCGATGCGATGTGACGCGGTAATAACAGCCACCCAAGACCGTGTGACAGAATGAAGTGCGGTCAAATCCGAATTCAGACTTTGTGGTCACCCAGAACAATCAAACTCAATTAACTATCATGCAATGGTAGTTATGGGACTTGGACATTTTAGAGTGGGAGAGGACTTGACTGAGAACAGAAAATAAGTGATGCTATATTATGTTAAAGGAATCACGAGATCCGTTTTTTGTTTGTCAGAGGAAGTGTGGAGTTGACGAAAGGTGAACTCTTGTCCTCCTCCAGTGCATTCAGGGGGAGACATGTTTGAAGTAACAGCCATGGAGAGACAAGGAAGTCCCCCGCACCCGGGGGCCAAATGAATCCAGATGTTTGAGCATGTTCACAAGGTGGAGTCCACTTGTACAGTAGTTGTTTTTCCTTTTTCAAAAGGTTGTTCAGTCGCTTCTTTTTATTTCATTTTTCCTGGCGCGCTCTCCCTCGCTCTTTCCCCCTTTTTTCCTCTTTCGTGTCCTCGCTCCGTGTCACTCTCTTGGCAAATAAAAATGCAATATTTTAACAAGCATGGAATGTCTAAAGGATTTAATGATCCTGTCAGAAACCCTTTTGAAATATGTGCATCCAGTCATGGTGCTCTGGAGAAGTATAAGACGGATTTCTTTCTTTTTTATAAATTTGCCTCCTTGAGAAAACTTGATTTTCTTTTTTGGGGTTTTGTAGTCCGGTTTTGATTCCCACCACCACATCTCACAAAGAGCAAGATTAAACCATGGTATTTCTGAGCATGATCATTTCATAATAATATTATGCAACGCCGTGTAACCTTAGCCTGCGGGTACATCTTGTGGTGTAAATGTCTGACTGGCAGGCGAGCAGGCCTCAGACCTCACACTGCTACCAACTCTGTGGCCCCCACAGGCTGAGGACACACCAGAGGTGGAACTGAAACTATCACTTCTCTGCAAAATCAAACGCATTTTCTTTTCTCATTCCTTTTCCGTTTGTCATTTTTGATGCGCTTCGTTGTCCGTCTCCGACTTTTTCCACCTTTCGGTCAGACTGCATCTTGTTACCCTTCACTTAGACGGTAATAATCCCAAACAGACCACTGCTCGTGTCTGTCGGCTTTATTTCTGTCGCACGCAGTCACGCTCTCCAAAGCCCTTCGAAGAGGTCACTATTTGGATGTTACGTGTGCAGCTCTAATCCTGATGTCGGGGATTTCTGGTGCGTGGTAAATGCGTTGTGCCTTTTGCTGGCCAGTGGGAAGTCCCTGTGTGTCACAGACAGCGATCACATTAGTGCAGCTGTTGAGGAGGACATGACTGTTGTTATCCTTCTGTCTGTGTGCTGGGAGGGGATTTATACACACACACACACACACACACGGTAACAAAACACTGTCTTTCATGAAGGTTCCTTCATGAATGAATGTTCCATTCAAGTATGTGTTTAAAAAAAATATGAATAATAATTTCGGTGTGTGTTGTGGGGGTGGTGTGGTGTTGGCACCTCACTCTCCTGTCTCCATTTCTGTACAGTTGCTACTGCTCCTTCATGTCCTGTTTCTAAGGTGACTGATTAAGCATTGTCACTGAAGCATCAAGTCCCCAATGCTGAACACAAGTCTTTCGGAAGCTAATGGGTGTCATAACGGTGACATCGGCTATCTCATCCTTTATACAGTAGACTAGTAACTGAGACCACATACTCAAGTTCAAAATGTAAATCCTCGAACAAATCGAGTGAGAAGTTGGATCATTTTCAACCAGACTCCAACCAGAGGAGTTCGTCCCAGCAGGTCAATAGAAACAAATGCATTCCGCACTTTCTCCGCATTTAAGGTCGGGAACTTTACCACTTTTCTGTGGGTTAGCGTTTGATCAAAGTATGGTTTACCTAATATGTGTTTCTGTTGTCAAACCAAACCAGCTTTTAGTAGAAGTAAATTTACAATCTCCTAAAGATATACTTGTTGGGGGTGATGACTTCATACGTGATCATATCCAATGGCATTATAGATAAACTTGACACTGGTTTCTCAACCCAACGTATTGATGCACTCAAGTTCAGATCAAGGATTTGGATATGCGTTTGCATATTTGGAACCTCGACCATTTCATGTCATCAATGATTTTCCATATTTCTCTCACGCATAATGTCCTTGGCCCTTGTCTTTCTATCTCTCATCTCTGTGCTTCTCTTTTCCTCTCCTTGCAGACATGTTCCAGTATCTTCTATCCTTCTCTCAGGGCCACCTGAGCTCTCTGTTGGAGGGAACCTACTCATCCCTGTCCCGCCAAGCCCTACCCTACGTCAACCAGCTCTTCTCCTCTCTGTCCCTCTATATCCGCGGGGCCAACGTCTCTGCAGAGGCGTCAATCCACCAATTTTATAACAGCCTCTTCCCACTCGTCTACACACGGCTCATCAATCCCGGCCTGGAAGGCGGCATGACGATGGGCAGGGAAATGGACGACTGTCTCCGCATGATCAGGCAGGATGTCAACCCCTTTGGGCCTCACCCGGGTGTCATGGCCGAGGAGCTGGCCGCGGCGTTGGGTGCCGGCAGAAGACTGGGCCTGGCCCTGGAAGAGGGTCTGGAAGTGATGAACGCCACCGAACACGTCAGCATGAGCAAAGAGTGCGTGAAGGGCCTGGTGAAAATGGTGTACTGTTCGCACTGCAGAGGCTTGACGCTCATCAAGCCCTGCGTGGGCTACTGTCTGAATGTAATGCGAGGCTGCCTGGCCAGCATGTCCGAGCTGGATCAGCCTTGGAGGAGATACACCAGTCTGTTGGAGCAGCTGACCCACGCCACGGCTGGGCACCACAGTCTGGAACTAGCCCTGCTGGGGGTTAGGGGGTACGTTAATGAGGCCCTGCTCTACGCACAGCTCCACGGTCCACTCATTACTGCCACAGTGAGTACACACTAGATCAGCAGCTTCAACGGCGCACGCGTAAGGCCTCGAAACCTTTTTTTGTTTAACCTCTTTGTTTGATATCTTGGCAAATTCATTGTAGTGATTGGAAAGGTTTTGCGGGCTGCTTGTGGGTAATAAGCTACTTTTTCCACCAAAGAACTCTGCACAAAGCATTAATGTTTGCATAGTGATTAAACTTTTCAGAGAAAAATAATATTTATACAAAAAAAGAAAAAAAAAGTTCAGCTGCCTTCAAAGGAATGCTTAGCTGAGGCAAGACAAGGACTAATTTTCCAAAACGGCAAGGCATCAAAAAGTCACCGTTATTGTTTTGGTTTTGGTGTGTGTGTGTGTGTGTGTGGGGGGGGGGGGGGTATTAAGAAATTCCGCATTAACGGTAATGAAAATAATAAAAGTAGTGGATAAAATGGGGACTGAGTGCACTTGCATGCTCTGAGTACAACCATATGCCTCATGTTATGGTTTTCAGTTCGATGTTCCCAACATCAAGATGGTTTCATGGCTGACTGCCAGACATTTTTTTTAAACCAAAAAGTGCAGTTAATAGTTTACACTCTGATTTTGTTGAGCAAAGTATCTTCTAACAAGTGCTCAAAGCATTGTGACGGTTTTCTATTCTTACATTTATCCCTGCATAGCACACAGAGAAGTAGTTCAGTTTGCATGTCAGTCATTTGCTTTACGTAAAATATCCTCTAAAATCTGATTTTTTTTTGCAAATACAGTACAATGTGTTCTCTATCTTCACATTTTTCTCTTCATAAGGTGGGGTCTTGCATGTGGGTGTAAGGTAACACGAGTTATACACCAAGGAGCAGAATTGTTGGCTTGGTGATTAGCAGAGATTTATGTGCTTCATCCAGAGGACCATACCATGTATCACTTATTCAGTCCCCATTGCATCACCCTCTCTACACTAAATTTCAGCCATGGTTATTGATGCAGCGCATATATATATATACAGTGTTTTTAAATGAATCTATAAGAACACTTTAAATTGGTCGGGTAAGGCCTATTTAGGGTGCAGTTCTTCCATTATCTTCAATGGGACCAATGGTTGACGAGTCTACACATAAGTCGTTCGTCTTAAACTTGCTATAAAAAGCCGGAATGTGGAAGCAGTTAGATCATTCAACTTTGACGTAGTTTTTTGTTTTCACTTAATATACAGTGCAGTCTTTCAATGCACTGTCAATTAGTCTCAAAGACTAGCGATTAAAATGAGGATTGCCGTCTCTGGAGTAAGTGAGTAAGTAAAGTGGTTGGTTTGTCCGATCTGGGCTAACAGAGAAACACGGTGGTGCAACATGGCGGTTTACCAGAAGAGAACCCGCTCACTTTGCAGATCTCATGCCCCGGGTATTGCTAACTGTTATGCAATTACAGAAATACAGTCACTACATTAGTGTCAGACATCTCAATAAATCACAGAATGAACTGAAAAAAAGCCTGCCGGTAGGGTAGAAATACAAATATTTGAACATACAATTCGGGGAATGGTTGGCAGTAACATCAAATTGTAAGTGATTTGTGGTTAATGGTCTTCAACGAGCAGAGCGTTGCTGTGGTCCCATTAGACTCGTACAACCAAATGGATAGACACTTACGGTGCACACGTGCATGTGCAGACAGAGGAGGGTTGGTTGCCAGGCTTAAAGACTGACCTAATACAACTATGCAGCGAGGCACTGACGCAGCTTGTGTTTTCTGTGTGTATATGGGCATGTGTGTGTGTGTATGTGTGTGTGTGTGTGTGTGTGTGTGTGTGCCTGCTTGGTATTCATGGGGTGGCAGGCGAGCCCGGAGCAGGGAGCCCAGCGCGGGGACAATTTGGGGGGGGGACAGATTTGAAAGGATTCCAGCTAGGCCATACAAACTAGATCCAGCCAGATGGACAAAAAAAAGAGAGAATTGTTGCAGAAAAAGGAGGTGGCCCCCAGTCGGACACTGTGGCTCCCATTTGCGGTGCTCTCAATGCTTCAGGCGGGCTACAGGGCAAACGCGAGCACCCACGTTTACTCATTCGCTCAGACACACACACTTAGCCACACATAGAATAACACACACAAGTTCTATTGCCTTGTATTACCTGGAACCTATGGCCTTTTTAAATCGCAGCCTGTTTTTATAAAGCCACAGAGGCTTGTAAAGTAAAACTGTTGGGTCTCCAGTGCACAACTACTGTGTCAGCGTAGCCCCCGTCACACTTATACCTCCATATACTAGATTAATTCTCAATATAAAACACCTTTTTGGCATATAAAAAAGCATATCATTCTTATTATTATAGTGCAAAGAATAATAAAGTGCACAAATCCAGTGCAAAAACCTTGCTTGTCCTAGCGTCATAATTTCGACTTTATGTGCAAAGTCGAGTAGAAAGAAGTAACTCTGTTTTATTTGCAGAATCCGAATATTACATAGAGTTGTTATTGAAGGAATTATTGTGACTTTGTGGTTTTACACTGGGATATTATCCCAAACCATTTTGTGGTGGCTGTCTCTCTCACTCACAGACTACAGAGTCTGCACTATATGTCGCAGTACGTCATAGGGCAGGACCGGGGTCGTAACACATATACTGTACAGACGCACACACATCCCCACGCGGTGCGCAGGTATCAGGTTTTTAGAAGTCCTGTAAGGAGCGTAGATGTTTCGGCCCACCCTGAGACAATACCAGTGGCGCGTGTAGGCGTGAAAGGCAGCTATTGACGATTATGTGGGGCAGCGAAAGGATGGATTCTGTCTTAACACATTCCTGCTCTTATTGAGATGGAGCGTGAACGTGGGTCGAAGGGAAGTGGTTATGGATATTGGGGGCAGCCATGGGTTGGATTATGTTGAGTAGACACAATTACGTGCACATATCCAGTAAAAGTAGCTGCTCTTATTGGGCCCCGTGCGGATGGTAGCTCCGATGTTAAGTGTTTTTTTTTTCTCCTTCTGAATGCCGCCCTGTTGAATTCACGTTAGAGTTTCTCCCACAACCGTGCGTGAGAGGCCACGGGGGTGCTGTTTATTGACATGGTCTTAAAAATGATATGGCTCACATGACCTAGAGGGGAAACTTTATATCTTCTACTAAAAGATGATCAGACGTTATATCATAACACACAGAAGCGTCCGTTACTCGCACCTTCATGCCACTCGTTTGCTCACTCACTCCGAGCTTTATAGGGTGCTTATGAGAAAATAGTAGCCGGGGTCCGGATTAAAGTATTTCATATGCATGTCTACCTTATCCGCTTGTTGGTTTTACCCCAGCTTTTCATTACAGTCCTACAGAGGAATGATAATAGCAGCCTGCGCCTGTAGATAATGGAAACAAGGGCCAGTGGCATGGCTGAAAGGTTTCCATTCACCACGGCGGCACCTCAACAGACTGCAGTGGCTTGCATTGCAAGCGCTATTTCTTTTACTCTTTTACCCCAGTATAATAACGCAATACGGTACGAGAGGCCGTACTGTCAATAATGTTACAGTTGAAGGGTGTTGTTAGGCCCGGAAACCCTTGAATGTTATTGACGATAAAGTATTGACTTAGCGTTTTGCTTTTATAACACGGTCGCCAGTGACATTATAAATAGTAATTAAATAGTAAGCTGCCTTTCAGCACAACATAGTTTCAGCCACCAAACATTGTGGATCGCATTTCAGTAGCCTAGAGAGTCTAGTGCCGCTATGCAACAGAAAACCAGCAGCATCACGTCTGTTAGCTTAGTACCAAAAGGTTTTTGATGATTAGCTAGAAGACCGATATTAATTTGTGCGTCGTCGGAAAACATCCCAGGTCACCTTGCAAGATATCGCAACATCTCATTCATTGACATTGCTCATGACGTCCACCTGAATTGTTCCCTAAAAAGCTAAAATGTTGTGAAAGCTTGCATTGCCCAAAACCGGTCATTTGCGGCATTTACTTTCTGAAGTGAAATGACAACTAATAGAAATGCAAAACTCCTGTTTTTTTTAGTATGCACTAATATGGAACGACCGGGTCAATGTAAACAGGTGTACAGTACTTATATGGCTATATGGGAGTATGGCTGAATTCAGTACACCCCTTGACTCACTCTCAACCAATCAGGATACTTGATTTCATCTACCCGTATTACAAAACTGAATAGGATGATCATTGGTGTGACAATAACATGATCTCCTAACCCCCCTTTCTGGGGGTCGCCTTACATGAAAGGATTAGCAACACAGCCTCAAGCCTTCACATGAGGGTTCCGTATGTAATATTTGCGACTGTTAGCAGAATAGAGCCGATCACGGCCAATCTATACCCTTAACTCATCTTTCTAAGTTGGGTGCGCCTTTGGCTCAGCGTTTAACCCTCAAGCTGACTGCCTTACTTACTCAGCAGTCCATTAGCTAATGATCGGGGGGGATGCAGTCTCTCTTCTCCTCAGCCACCCATGTGCATCGTTTCCAGCTCCGTTTGCCTCTCCTGGTGTTTGCCCTGTGCTGATAATAAACATAATCCTTGGTCGTCCGTGGTATATCATTTTCTTCTGTTAGCCATGACTGGAGATTGGTGGAATCCTTCTCTAGAATTAAAGTAATGATGTAATTTAGAAACTAAGCGATGCTTTCCTTCAGAGCTTGCTAGTAAATGAAGTTCACCTCATTATGTAATATTGTTTCCGTCCACTTTCAGGTGTCAGTATCAGAACACTTCTTCGAAAAATAACTAAAATATCTTCCCCGGGATTGTTGATCAGGTAGGTAACGGTTATTTTAGATCAAATGTGACCTATCAGCCTTCAATCCATTGTTTCAGAACCGCCGACCACACAGCCTTTTTTCCTCTTCTGCAAGCCCTGCTTTAATGTTTGAAATAGCCGTCTCTGTGCGTCTCCATATTGCCAACATCCTCCCTTGATGCCTGGCTGCACGCTGGTCTGGTGCTTTAGCACCTACAAACATGAGCTGGCTGGCATTCTAACGCCAAGCAGGTGCTGCTGTGA